TACTAAGGAATACAGGAAGGGCTTCAAAAGAATCCACAGCAGCTTAAACTACTGGAGGAAAGTCATACAATCTATCACACGAAGAAATTAATGATCATGAAAAAGAAAAGTGGACCTTGGCATTTATCTAACCAGCTACTAATCTAGCTGCTTAGGGCTTCAGAAACAGCTTGTTGAGATAAGAAAGTTTTACAGCAGGCTGGCAGCCATACTAAGGAGTAAGGTGCTCCTGGGGCAAGTAGATCCCCTGTGAAAAGAAAACTTAAAATTTTGAGTATCGGCAGAGCATACTGAACTTCTTCCTGCTAGGAATGACTAAGATGAAGCCCCCTTCTGACTTCCTTCCCTCTTCTCACAGCTTCAGGGCTCCCTCGTCTAAGTTAAGTTAGTTGATGGGTCTGAATACTCAGGAAAGCATTCAGAAGTTCTTTATAGTATGTCCTTATCATACAACTTGAGGTTCAACAACTCCAGACTCCTGATAACTTGAAAGCAAGTGCTAGGGTCTCTATTCCCATCTTTTCCAAAAATGCCCAGTCCTTAATCGGGACTTATTTAATTGAAACATGAAGAGGCACGAAGCCATACCAGGCTGCACCACCAGGTAAAGGTGATCTGCGACATAAACTAGCAGCTTTAGTGCCTATCTTTACTCATTGCCCTCATTTTGGAAATGAATGTTACTGTTTCCATAATCTTTTAAAGATCTGTCTTTTGTACAGAGAAACTATTATATAAAGAAATTTTTACATTACTATATAAAAGAGGTTTAGTATCTGCCTAATTTGGTATTCAAGTCTACAGGAAAAAAAAAATCAATGACAACTGCTTTATTATTAAAAATTACTGAATTCCATGAAGCACACAATGTTATTTATATTCAACTAACAAAAGTTTGATACATGTATTTAAAAATATATAATATATAGGTTTTTATCTATCTTTTAACACATGTTCTATTTAAAAAGCCATAGCTTTACATAGTTTACAACTTGGGTTTATAAAATATATACATCCACCCTATTCAAACCTTCAAGCACAAGCTTTCATTTTTATTAATAAAATGTACAGTCTGTATTTCTGAATATTTAGAGGAAAATGGTATGAACTAAAAAAATCCGTTTTGACTTACCCATGCACTTAATTCTTGGCTACTGGATAATTTAATAATCTATTCAAATAATTAGTTTGCGTTTACATGAACAATCTGTGATTACTACAAAGAGACCTGTATTTTTATGGTGTCTGACACAATCTACCAAATTCCTTACCAATCTTGTTTCAGGCTTTATAACCAGAGAGGCAGGATTATTTCATCTTTCCATGTACCAGGAAACCTAAGTGATACCACAGTGAACAAGCCAAAGCCCCAGTATGTTTGAAACCATGCTTCTGCCTTTGAGAAAACAGCTTAGGAGTATTGTAAGAACAAAATCTTCTCAAAAACCTGACCATGCATGTGCCAAGAAGCAGAATAAAAACTGTTTTCGCTTTTCCTTGTCAACTGCATGCCACTTGTAAAGCTGGAGTTCATTAGGTATTCTGGCATTCCTTCCACATATTCAAAATGACTTCAGATGTCAATTTTTTTAATCAACAAAATTTACATAAAAAATATATTCTTGTAATCATTCTAAAGACCCATCCCCAAATATGTTACAATATTAATATTTTAGAATTAAAATCACAGTCAGTACTACAGAACCAGAACTTTTAACTTGAGGGAGACAGATCTAGTTGGAAGGATATGATTAAATTCTATGGTCCTCTAATGATAAGGGAATGCACGGTTTATGCTCAGAAAGCAAAAGTCTTCCACTAATTATTATTTTTAAAAAAGAGCTCAAATCTCAGAGAGACCTGGAAACTTAAATGAAAATACACTTTTATCAAAACAAGTAATTTAGCTGGCAATATGTAGGTTTCAGAAGAGTCACCAACAAAAAAGTAAACAAAATTCCCTCAATATTAGTATTTAAGAACTGAATTATAATTAACAGCTCATTTATGAAGTAATTGTTCAATTTAGCCATCTTCTGATAAACTGAGATTACATACTTATCATAAATTCCGTGTATTTCATTTGTAGGAGGAAGTCTTTATTTAAAAAACAAATTCTGATGAGAGGTAGAATTGTAATATTCTCCCTTTTCTGGATTTCCTAACCTCAAGAGAAGGAAAGGAAAAATGAAATAAAGGGAAAAGGAAAGGGGAAAGGAAGGGAGGAAGGGAGGGAGGGAGGGAGAAAAAGATAGAAACCAGAAAACTGCTGAAGACTGACACACTATACTTATCTGTGAGAAGACAAGGGAAGAAAAGTAAAACACAAAACAAACAAATCAACCCTGACTGCTAAGAGGACCAGGGCCAACTGGTGCAGATTAAAAGGTACCTTCACAGAGCTTAATCATGCAAAAGTAATAGCCAAACACAGACTACTACAGAAGCTGGTTTTGATAATGAATCCTCAAAAGAGAAACACATTGGTTAAGCCTCAGTTCTTTATAAAAACCAACTTATATTCACAATTATAAATCTAAAGTATTCAGCTAAAATATGTACAAAAAAAAAGAAAGAAACCCTACATAAAAGTGAGATCGAGCAGCAGTAATCATAAAGCCTTAGTACTAGTGACACTGAATTCTTTATTTAAAAAAAAGTTAACACATAAGTACCTCCTCTTCTCTTCTATTTTTAGGAAGAAGCTTTAACAAGTTTTAAGTATCTCAATTCTCAAAAACAACAGGCTTTTAAAAAATAAGACCTGATTACCAGAAACAAGTAATATGTAGTTACATACTATTTTCATACCACTACTCATTTCCATTATTTGTCAATTCATCTTTGATGCAATCTGGGAACAATCAAGCAGTCACTAGATACCTGTTTTAGAATCTGAAAAAATTATTATCCACTGCAGGAATCTAATTTTTTTATATATCTATATATATCGTATATTTAAAATTTCAGAAGGGTATAATAAACTATTCTAGTTACTTTATATGAAATATTTGTATACCTAATTAATAAGGATTAAGATCTTTGTCCAAGTGAACTGTATAGAAAAGCTATTTTTAGCATTCCCCACCACAAGGATTTAAAAAAAGCTTTATTTCCCTGCTGGCTAAAAGGAAGAATGTACACATTACAAGTCCTTTAGAGGTGAATATTAAATTCCTTAAGAGAACATCCATAAAATTTACTTTAAAAAATTTAGGTTAAAAAACTGAAAACCATTTCTTTTTAAAATCTACAGTATTAATACCTACTTGACGTACCAGTTTGGTTTTTTTTTTGGAAGGGCACCGAGTTCCTGACCTAAGCATGCAAAATAAAGAACTGAATGTATCACCGTTTTAACAGAATTTAGCAAACCATAAGAATGGCCTTAAAATAAATAAATAAATAAATTAAAAACAAGAAAATACACATTGCCTGTATATGAAAGTGTAATTCTGCAGGCCCACACAGTAGACAGTGTCCACAGAGGAGAGCAGGGAAGAGGGAAGTAGCATGTTCCTATGTACATTTTTCTTGGCACCCTGGCTGTCCTTCAGCAACATATCACAGAGAGATATTCATTTTATTATAACATAGCCATTAATTGCCATCTCCAGAATGATGCCTCAGGTAAACATTTAATGTCTTTTAACTTACATTTACAATTCACCTGTTAAATCTAAGTACAAAGGACTTTTCAATGATTCCTAAGTTCAAGAGAGAAATAAATGAGGTGTTAATCTGATTGCAAATTACAAATGGTTGGCATTTCTACATTTAGGATATTTCATCTTGAATTTCTTCTCTTTAAACCATAAAATGTACTGAAATTACTTGGTTTTCCTTTACTTTCCTCTGCTTCATTTTAATTTTTATGGTGTCTCTATGTAGAGAGAGAGGTATGTTAAAATACTGTTATTCATATTTAAAAACTCAACTGAGGCTATATATGACCCATTAATCTATAGTACAGCACTGTTAATCTTTGACCTGGTATTTTGATTCCTTTGGTGAGTAAATGTCACAGGTCATTTTTTAATCAAAGGATTTTACTAAGAGGACCAGCAGAATGAAGAAAAATCCCCCCTCCCCCCAAAATGATCAAGTCAATCAGTAGTTTAGAGCAATTATGTAAAATATGAAAAATACATAATTTACAGCTGCAATTTTCATATTAAAAAGCAATTAAAAACTAAAGAGTAGTTCAAAGCATCCCAGAAAATATTTTCTGTCTTGGTTAAACAGGCCAACAAATAAAACTGATAGAGACTACTGTGAGAACTTACGTATGCCTAGTCAAGATAGAACAAAAATGTTTTTTAATTTTAAAAAGTGGCAATTGCTATCTAGCAGTATAAACAGTGTCCACAATTTGGTGGCTGGCTATAGTTTAATTTTTTTTTCAAGTTACTTCTAAAGCAGACATATTTTTGAAGTCTACCCACCCCTGAGTTCAGCAATTATAGAGTGTAAAATTATATGCCCTTAATTAACAACATGTACAAAGCTACAAAATGTCATCTATACACAGATTAAAAACAAATTTTAAAATATTCTTTGCCAATTATTGATTGGATGGTTTTGCTGGGGTAAATATTTCAAACCTTTCAGCCAATTGGCTTTTATTTTAAGCCCAAATCAATTAATAAATTCACTGCAGGACACGTCAAAAAGAGTGCAACAATAGGCATTAGTAAAAATAACATTGTAGTAGAAACAGATTTTGCATATGTGAAAAGGTAATTTATAAAATACATTACTCACTTTTTTTAAAAAGAGAACCTAGCTGTAGTATCATTAACTTACATGGTACTGAGAACTGGACCTTTCAACAATTTTCTTCTATAGAAAAACTTTAGCTAGTTGTAAGCAGTCTTTTAAACAAGAAACAAAACAAATCTCTCCAGGAATAACTGTATGGTTGTGTGAGACAAATAAGCAAACATACCATTCTACAGTGTACCTTTGCCAAAATTTTAAAATAAAAAATGTCCACACTCTTTTGTTAAAACATTAAGCCTCTGTCAAAAATGTATTTCTTATTTTAGGGTACAGGATTAAAGGACAAGATGATACTTACAAGTAAAGAAAATTTACAAGAAAAAACTTGACAAAAGTTTTTCAATTAAAATATCGTAACATTCAAACGACTTAAAACACAACAAAACAAAATTGCAAACAAAAATGTTTATGGATTTTCCAAACATAAATAAATGAAATAGTGTTTAAGCAGTAGGGCTCATGCTGATGGCTAGCACGAAGTAACAAAGTGTACTCTACTTGGAAAAATCATTAATGTACAAACAAGCCCAAATTACGGACTGCAGCAGTTTAATCATCACTGCCACTTTACTTCCAAAATAAAGCCTTGATTAAACCATTCATACTCTATATTACGCATACCTTTACTTCAGAGATTGAGGAACTATATACAACCAATGAATTTATTTTCACCATAGGGATAACATATTGTACCTCTCTGCCAATGTTAGTTGAAAACCTTCCATGTCAAAACAATTTGACAGCAAATATAAACAATTCAATAAATATGCAATGATCTTTCATTACAGTCCTTTAAAGATGCATGTTAATTCATGCTGTTAACCTTAGGATCACAGTGCATAGAATCCAAATAGAAATGAGTTGGGGTGACTTTCAAAGTAATGTTGGATCCCTCACTTTATTTATAATCCCACCAGAACCGTTAAAGTTCATTTCATAGGCCCTATCATGCATTAATCACTGGGTGGCAGGAGTTAATGAAAATTTTTCCTGTTATGACATCCATTGCCGGCAATGAACGTCCCCAAACCGCCAAGGAAGTCATTGTTATTGCACAATACATGAGGACCTGGAACTTTTCCAAAAGCTTAAAAAAATAAAAATAAAAAATGGAATTATATTCGACATTTCCTGACACCTGCATTAATACTGTATGACTAATAAAAGCATGTCAGTTGCCTGGACTGAACCAGCGATCAACATGCGCCCAGAATGCACACGAGTAAAAATGCAGTAAAAGGAAGTAGTCTTCATTGCCTATAGGTCACTTCCAGTCAAAGGTTAAAGTTCAAAGACTGAATGATCAAAGTGCTCATTTTCTCAGTAGGACTATCTTCTGCTAGGAGGATGATAATAGTGGCATCAACACGTATCATCTTAAAGAAAAGGAGAAAAAATAATTAAAAAAGTCAAGCATGTGTTAGTAAAATCTGTAAGTTAGTTTAACATAAAAATAATTTCAACTAGCAAGAACAACCTGGTTTACATTAAAAGTCCAATTTGTGTTCAATTATACAGCAACATACAAATCAAGTCCTATTCTTTCAGGGAAATGGTAGTTCACACAAATCTTAAAATGACGTATTATTAGTACGTTAGTTCTATTTGAAATAGTAAATTAATATATGTTAGCACATTTTCAGATTTATCAGTCTTAAAAAGAATTCTTTTATGGGAAACAATTTAAAATGGTAATGACAGGAAGTAAACCCCTGAGCAACACTGTCATGATATTTAACACAGGACAATACAAGTCATGCCTTTAGTCTACTGAAGGAAAGAACTTCACAAATGAGGTACAACCTCCAAATCAACCGAATTGTTATTAATTTCTCTTTAGAAAATATTTTTCAAGAAATACAGATAATATGTAAAGAAGGTCATTAAAATAATCCCACAGAATTAGCAATGCCTTCTGTTAGTCAACACATATTTATGTAACATATAGTATAATCTTATATTTTACAAAACTTACTTCACAAAGTGTGTCTTAAGGATTTATTTTGAGGACTTGTTATTCTTCAGAAAGAAGTTAAACTAGTGGCACCTACCCACAAGTTGTTAAAGCTCTTTAACATTCTAAAAAACTGGCCAAAATATTTCATAAACCATTCCATGTTCGGATCAATATATTGCTAGTAACATTCCCATTCATAAAGACTCAATGAGAGCTAAAAATCAGTAAACTGATTTCTATGCTGGGCAAACTAGTGGAATATTCCATGATCCTACACCTTAAGGGTAATCTAAAGGGTGAAATAGACTAGATTTTTAAATAAATCATATTTTAAATCATCAGAATCCTTTAAATAAATATATACTCTTTAAGAAAACAAGTGGATAGATAGTTCATAGCCCCTAAGTGTCACATGAAACTGTTTCTTAAATTACTGTGGAAATGGGAAAAAGAGGATATATTAGTCATGGATGTAGAATAAACTTAAGAATATGAGTAAGTTCCTTTAAATATCACTTCTCCAGTACTATATTTTGTAACACTAGGGTCCTTGAAATCAATACCAAACTAATCACACTTAAATCTCTAAGCTAAGGGATGGCGCTAAACTTTACCTAATATGTCAAACTACTGAGGATAAACTTTAGTCATGTCACATGACAATGTATATACTAGGTGACAGATAAAATTCAACTCAAACATAAAGTTACCCAGCAATAAGTTTTTTATCTCCAAAAACATGTCATCTTTGACAGGTGGTGCTGTAAATGTATCTTTATCAGGTTGTTCATTATGGAAGTTTAAGGACAGCAGGCTGTTGAAGAATGTGCTACAAACGTCCAAAATGATTGGGATACCCATGTGAAGCTATTCTCCCTATCAATTCTCACTTTCGATCAGGTGTTTAAAGAAATTAGTACAATACTACCTGCCTTGAATACTGTATCCTTGATGAAATAATCTTAAGAAGTAAGCTCTGAATAAGTCCATCTAAAGATGGAGTTCGGTTAAACATTACAAATCCATGATGACTGTATGTACTCAAGAGTCTATGAGCAAACAGGTGTAAGTATGGAGACACGTAGGTATGAGCGAAAGCTATGGCTACCTTTCCTTCAAAAAAAGGCTATCATTATGAAGCAAAAAAACTCAGCTGTTAGCTGAAGGAACAGTTTCCTGGCTAGGTGAAAGGATTATTAGATACTAGAACTGGCTTACCAAAAAAAAGTTGTTATAGTAAATCCATCTTGGATCAAGACAAAAATAGGTTTACAAAAGGCCCTGAAAGAACTCAATGTATTTAACCTCCTGGCTAAAGTATCTGCGGCAAGATAATGGCCTGGGGAAAAAAAATCTACTAACCATTTAAACTTTTCTGAAACTGCGGAAGCTGCTACTAAAATTATACCCTCAAATAGAATATACAAATTCCATATACCAGTTCCAAAGAGATGACGTCTACCATGGCTAACTTCCCTGGGTTCTGGGAAAAGTGAATAGAGAGAACTATATTAGAAGAAGGTCATTTAGTTTTCCCCAGAGTGTAAGAACCATCACATTGTATTAGAAACCATCTCCCTGGATATTCCCAGGGACAGTGGACTAGAAGTAAAGGAACACAGTAGGTAGGAAGTGGAATGCTACCTCTAAGAAAGACAAAAATCAATCTTTACAGTTAGATTTATCTCTCAAAAGTTTAAGGAATTTAAGTTTTCCTTTAATGAACCGATTCAAGAAAGACTTCAGCATAGACAATTAGACAATTATAAAAGACAAAAAGATTGTTAGAACTCATGAATTTAGAAAATGGTTTTGCAACCCTAAAAGGTAGTATAAATAAAAAGGTTTACAACTAACGTAGATAAGGAGAAAAGGAGTTTGTTAATACTTGTCTGAGATAATTCTATGTTCCTATCCCTTTATAATCCCACAGGGAATGTTTCAGCTGAATGAAAACAGAATGTAGTCTACAGTTTTGCAGAAGATATTCCTCTATTCCTCCCCAAATTACAAACTCATCAATTTATTAAATATAACATCTAAATATATGACAATTTATTTCCTATAAGCCCAGTTTTCTGGAGCCAATACTCAAGAGCAGCCTTAAGCTATTATTGTTTAATTCTCTATCACCGTAAGAAAAATGCTCAGGAACCAGGTCTGTACTCCCATCTGTGGAAAGCAGTAATTTATGAAACTAAGTTGTAAATGTTTAATATTGTTTAGTCCCAGAAAGCACATGGATATTATTAATGCATTCTAGTTGGCTGCTATCTTATTGGACGTTTTATAATCTTATAAAAAGATTTTTAAAAACTCTTTTTTCAAGAACAATTATGTCTGTTGTATAATATAGAACTCTGAGGCTCAGTCATTCATTCACTTGTACACTGAACTGGATACAAATCTGTTTTCTAAGGAAGATTCTAGCTCTGAACCATAGGTAAATCCCACAGCTTCCTCAGTAGGCTGAGAGAAACCGACTATTCAAATACCTATTTTGGTTAGTTCCCTTTATTTTTTGAACCCCATTCTTTCAACTCAATTGTTTTTTCAAAGCATGTGGACCCCTGCTTTAATTGGCAACACAGAGTATTTGCATCCCAATTCAGATATGACTGTAGTCAACTTCAAGTAAGCAACAATAAAGTATACATATTCACGTATTCATGTTAATGACTTTTACATTACATACCTAGGCTATTTGGTATAGCCTATTGCTCCTGGGCTACAAACCAGGATGGCATATTACTGTACTGAACACTATAGACAATTGTAACATAAAGATAAGTACCTAAACATAGAAAAGGTATAGTAAAAATATGGTATTAAAGATTATAATCTTATGGGCACACTGTTGACTGGAACATTGTTACGTGGCACAAGACTAAGATATAATGTATACAAAGACAATTAACAGTAGGGTAGCAGTGACTAGCCTAATTTTCAAGGTATATTAATAATGTGGAAGATCACAAATTTAAGCTGAGAGAGGCCCCCCCCCCCCCCCAAAAGAACCTGACACTGGTAGTATCTGGCAGCTCAGTTCTGGTTTGTCAGCTGAGACCTCTTCTAAAACCAAGAGATAAACTAAATTTCAGATTCATGGTTTTCCATTAATAGTGCCTCCATCCTGCATCCTAAAGCTCCCTCTGAAGTACACATATATCACCAGTCTAAACCCAAAACCTCTCCTGCCTCTTTGATTACACTTGACAAACACTTTGACCTATGTTGATCCACAGACATTGGTTAGCATCACATAGCAGGACTGTGGAGCTTCATACCTGAGGCCTGCAATTCTGTATGGTTTCTAGAAACTGAAATGTTTAGTATTTCAGGGAGTTTATCCAATTCCAAGCAAGTCTTTGCTCAGCTCTGACCTTTCTGTTTAGCTTTGCAGGTCACACCTTATAATCCTTTCAGAATTAGATGATGCTAAGAAATAAAAAGACCATATTTCTTGGTAACTTGGTGTTATAAAAGAGAATATGATCAATGAAGATCTTTTGGAACTAAAGCAGCTAAGCAGAAAAACAACTAACATCTGCAAAACTCTAAAACCTGATGTGTTCTGCTTTGTAAGTTATTATGATTACTTTTTTGGTAAGATTTTCCAAATTCAACTACAATGCCAAGGTGGGCTATTTTTCACATTACCTATAACGTTATTCTGAAATGTACAAAGACAATATATGCTACATAGCTGAAGATGAAGAAAAAGTTTAAAGATTTTCTGTACATACCTACCCACACTTTAATGGCAGAGCAGTTGCTTTATTATCTGCAAGTATACACTAATATTACTCTTCCTTGATTTCACACTGGCTCACTGGTGGAGCAAAATTCTTTATTTAAGGGAGAATGTGCGTAGGGCATGATTTAAGCATGCAGGGTTCAAGCAGGAGCAGAAAACATACTGAGGTAAGAATGGTCACTGTAGGTTAATGAACTGAGGATGTTTTAAACAGAATTATCTGTAAATGAAAAACCATCTGGACCTGGTGTGGCTCAGTGGATTGAGTGCCAACCTGCAAACCAAAAGGCTGCCAGTTCGATTCCCAGTCAGGGTACATGCCTGGGTTTTGCACCAGGTCCCCAGTGAGGGGTATGCAAAAGTCAATCAATCTATTTATTTCTTGCACATAGATGTTTCGCTCCCTCTTTCTCCCTTACTCCCCCCTCTCTAAAAATAAATAAAATCTGAAGAAGAAAAAATAAAATTAAAAAACAAACTAAAAACAAGAAAAAAATCTGCACCTGGCGCCAGGATACCATCCCACGACTGAAAACTGGGCTAAAATACTCATGATTTAGTTGAAATAGAATCTGGTGCCTTTAAAAAATGGTTAATTTGTATTTCAGGGGGAGAGAGAGGAAGATGGGATACTTTAAATCTGTTTACTGGAAAAATTCTTATACAAACCCTAGACTATTTTACATTTAGTAAAAGGTAAATTTTGTTTGCAAAGCCTCTCTTTTCTTAGCACTTTTTGGCTAACTTAGAGGTGATCCATCCTCAAACTATTAAAAGACTTTTCGAGCTTAGTTATGAAAGTATGAATGTCTTAGTAATATATAAAAACTATTAACTCTATCAAAATCACTTCTACTATTAAGAGTATTTTATTTTAAAGAATTAGCTTGTATAATTCTAGTATCACTATGTGACTTTTCTCCATTTCTTATTCAAAAGGGCAGGTAATAAGAAGTTCTGGAAGTTATGTTAGATAAACGTAAGTCCTTTCAACTATATAAGGCAGCATTAGAGAGCTTAAAAGAAGATTCTCTTTACTTCAATCCTTGCCCAAGGACATGTTTATTGATTTTAGAGAGAAGAAAGGAAGGGGGAGGCAGGAACACAGAGAGAGAAATGTCAATGTGAAAAAGAAACATTGATCAGTTGCCTCCTGTACTGCCCCAACTGAGGATTGAACCTGCAACCTTTTGGTGCACAGGACAAATGATCCAACCAACTGAGCCATCAGCCAGAGTGAAAGACGATTATCTTTTTGAAATTTCCCTACCAGGGAGTAAGGAAGGTAAAAATAGGAATATACCATCTAACACTGGGGGTGGATACAGTGATACAGAGAGTTACACTTTCAAAATAGATGTATTTTTAAAATTCGTCACTCTAATACAATTTCCTCTCAAATTTTAAAACTCGGTTTAAAAATATTAGAAAAGACAGTGGAATTCTTCTATTAGTGAGGATGAGTATGAAATAAAGTGACCACTATCTTAGAAGCCTGGACACTTTAAAGGCACAGAAGAAAGTGGCAGTACAGTGTTCAGTCCTAAAATGCAAGAGGATGTAAAAGAATGAGAAGCCAGCAATGTAAATTGAAGGGCTCTTTAATTAAAGTAGTAAAGTAGTAGTAAAGTTTTCGTGGAACTTCTGTGTTCAGAAGGAATTCCTTAAGTCTGAGTGTCAGTGTTATCTTATTTGAAAAGTTGTCCTTTTATACCTAGGAATCCCTGAAACAGTTCTTAAGTGACCAGCTGTATCAGAATGATCTGGGGGAAGTCTTAAAAACTAAAACAAAACCTGCATTATAGGTGAAGTAATAAGTTTATTAGATTCCTTAAAGGAAGGTGTAATCAACAAGGCTTTGGTGAATGAGTTCCCAAGAAGAGAGGGGTGTGTGTAGAAGGATTCATTCCAGGTAAATAGCACATGTAGAGGCAACAACATGGAGGATATGGAATAGAGTATGCATTACAAATAATGCCCCACAGAACATTTCATGCATAACATTTTTTTATATTACAGATGACTGTCTTAGGAAGAAACTTCAGAAATATCTAAGACAAAAGGTTGATCTTAAACTTCAATCTTGTTAGGTACTGTTGCACTGCTTCCTTAAAGGACTAGGTATCCCACCGGCAAGTAAGGAAATCCTATTTTATTCTACCCAATACTCTATTACAGCACTGCACTCATTTATAAAACTCTGCCAATTCAGTAACACTTTCAAATATTAAATTTGTAATTATTTTAGTGTTGAATTTTTCCACCTATGCTTTTATTATATTTATGCTTACGCAACTTTCAAATATGGTCTTTATTTCTAATAAGCTATGTTTAATTTTAATTATACTTAACAATTTTTTTAACTTTATAGTGACTGTGATTTGAAGTTTTTTGGTGCTTTTACGAAAGATTTACATTTTCATGAAATTAAATGTTTAATTTCTTTATGATTCCCTTTAATTTTAGATATTTTTCCTTCCTCCAGAGATAATACCCAACTTAAAAAAAAATTGCTTAATTTAATCCACAGAAAATATTCCACCTATGAAATAAAAATGTAAGTTTTTCTTTCCTAAAATGATTACCAATTTTCTAACAAGATTATTTACAAAACAATTTTTTCCCTTCTCACTGATTTGTGACATCATATATACACTATATATTCCCTAAGATTTGTAGTCACCATATATACACATCTTATAAACAGAAAGGCCTAAAAAAAGAGTAACTGTATTTCAATGTCTATTCTTGCATCAACAGGTTTTGGTGTCTAGTAGATTAATTCTTCATTATCTTTTAGTTCAAAATTCAGGCTGAATTTTCCAAAACCTTTAAAACAACTACCCCATCATTCAACTGGATTTTTACTGACTTACATTAAATCTTTAATTTGTAAAGAATATACGGTTTTTTTTATAATACTGGTTTCTCATCAAAGTTTTTTCTTTTTTTAACAGCTCTTAAAAGTTTTGTTATTTCTCCTTCTAGGTCACCTGCATTTCTCATTAACATTATCCCAAATATGCATATTTCTGTAGCTCTCAGGAATGGCACTTTTCTTTCACTGTGCTTACTAACTTGTAGCTGCTAGAATATTGCTACTGTATTGACTCCAGTCGTCTTTTAGCTCAACACTTAGAACTCCTATAATTTATAAAAGTTTTTAATTGACTCAAATTAACTAAGATAACAGGTTTCATAATAGAGAGAAAGGTAAGGGGAAAAGGTTCCATTCCTATTAACTCATACTGTCAGTTTTAATTTCTTATTAAAATAATATTTAAAAAAAGCAGAACAGAGGAAATGCTCTTATGTATACAAAATACAGGGGATGGATTTTGTACACTTGTTTTAAAAAGTACATGGAGGAATATAAACTTTTTGTTTTTAATTTTAAACATCTCTTTGGTGAAGAGTAAGGTCAGTTTAGAAAAAATACTAGCAGCTTTCAATTATAAAAGTTACCATCACCCTCCCAACCAAGAACAAGAGAAAATTTAAAATTATTGAGAGTACTGTTTACAGAAACTACAATCAGCAGAACCTCAATTTTTTTGAGGAATAACTATTAGAATAGGAAGAACTTTCTTTAATGGGTCATTTCTAACAATGTGGTCCCCCCCTCCCACAGAACAGTATCAGGACTAAATGAGTACAAAGGCATCAAAACTTCTATTTTAAACAACAGGTTTCCCAATAACTAGCTCTAATTAGATCTAAAGATTATTAAGGACTTCTTTTTTGTAATAAAATGGTAGAGTTTCAAAATGCTAAAGCAATTTGAGGTTTTACTTGTATGATTATGGTTTTATGTGCCCCATTAAGCAGCTAGTCTAGCTTACCCATAAAAATGTCTTAAAGTATTTTAAAGAATTTTCTCCATATAACAAAACTTTAACATCTATTATATTCCATTCTTTTTCTCAAGCAAACAGATATAAAATCTTTCAAACTAAAATGCTAAAAGTTATTATTCTAAAATAAAACTGCTTACCATGATACCACCATTTTGTTTTCTTTGGATTCTTGTTACATGTTCGAACATAAAAAGAATTATCTGGTGGTCGTCTCTGAAACCAAAAGAAGTTTAAATAGATAAGAAGTTGTAAACTAGAAAAACGTAAGGGAGAGACCGTTTTAATAAAAGCTGTAGCAAAACTATTACAATATGAATTTAAAAATACATAAATGCTGATGGTAAAACTGAAAGAAATTCTATGGAATGTAGATTCTTGACACTGAAATTGTTTTAAAAATATAGGCGTAGGGTAGTTTGGGTTAGGTTCCAATGGGATTACTGGAGAATAACTATTAACCAAGAGTGGCATTAGGTTGTAAAAAAATTTGGTTTCATTTATTTTTCTCTCCCTAGAAATAATTTAATAATTACTTCTGTGAACCAATTAAAACAGAAAAGTCTAGCTAACTAGATCTGTCTGAGAAACTAATACAACTTATAAACCTCCACAAAGGATTACTGTTTTTCTGTAAGATAGTATCAGCAAGAACAAACCAAGGGATTAAGTTTCCAAACAATGTAAGGGGGGAAAGGGGAAAAGATATATGGACATTTCTGCTATACATATGTCCTGACTAGCACCACATTATATACATGGCAGCTCTGCAAAGGAGCTACATCAGAAACAGTGATGCCAACAACACTGAAGACAGACTATACAATAGAATTTTCCTGAAAACTATTGTACATTGATCAGACACAAGAAATATGTGACACTACAAAGATCTGGAAACATATCAATATGTACTGAAGTCACTGAGGGCAGGTTTGTAGGTAATATAACAGGTCCAACAAAAAGCAATGGAGAGCAGGGCTCCCTACACAGCAGGAAGGAAAAATAGGAAGTTTACTTGGCACATCTAAAACTCACATACATAACTATGATCTTAGTTGAGCCTCATAATTCCCCTCTGAATTAATATTAATTTAACATAGAGCATAAGATGTTGAACAACTATCCCAAGGTTACCCTGTTAATAATGTTTGAGAGAATTCCTAAAAAATTAGTATTATGAAATTAAGATGCCTGGCTCCTTCAAAAAACAGATGATCTGCTGTTGTCTTTCAAAGTTATAACCCATGTTCATGTGAAATAAATTGCTACTACTATGGTAAATAATTTCATAAACTACTTTTATGTGTATATTTATTAGAACCCAATCAAAAACATTTAAGAAAAGAAAAACACCACTTATATGCTTAAGTCAGGAATATAACCAAACTGGTAAGTGATCAAAGAGATAGGGTTTTTGGAGAAAATAAGCTATATTAAAAGATGGATTACCAAAATCGATTTAGAAATGGAATACAGGCTGGGAATTTGGACTATCTGTATTTTAAGGACACAGAATAAAGGGTAGATTATTGAAAAACCCCTGGTCTCAATATCAGAAATTATCTTTAATCTACTGAAATCTACTGATGTAATAGATTTAAATATCTTTAATTTAGGGAACCATTCTTGACTATGAAAAGGGAAACTGGAATAAAAGAATTATGACTAAATCAAAGTTCTCAAATGCCTATAGTAAAAATTAAAATTTATATTAAAAAGGAGTTGATTAGTAAAGTGAAACTCATACAAAGATGTCCACCATAGAATAAAATTTTGGTGAGTATTTAAGAGTTTTTGAAGTTTATTTGAAGCTAGATCTCCTCAATGGCAAAGAAAGTTTCCTGTTTGTCTTTGTATCCTAGTACTTGGCACAGTAAAAATAACATGTAGTAGGTACGAAATGTTTGCTAAATTTTATATTTCACAGAACTAATGCTGCCAAAATTCTGAATTCCAGGTTATCATCTTCATTAAATATAATTTATATTATATAACATAGTTTATCAATAATTTAAATGGAATTAGTCTTATACTAAGTATATAAGAAATAATAGCAAATAACTAGAATGTGAGGGAAATGGTAAGGCATAGAAAAGAATGAAGGGGCTAGAAAATAGTCATTTTTCAGTTTTTAGAAGTAAATCATTATATTTAAATGTAAACAAAGGTTAAAAATCATCAGGGCTATGCAAGAGTTGTGTGCAGACATCAGTGGTGTTCATTTCTTAACTTTACCTATTCAATCCTATGTTACTACCTCACCTTTCTAAAGACATTAAACACGAGCAGGGACATAGAAGCCCTTGTCACTGAAAACTGCTCTGCTCTACACTTGAAAGTTTAAAAGTGGTATGTGTGCTGGGGGTGGAAATGAGGGAGGAGAAAATATGGAAGTAATAAATAAGACTTGCTTCTAAATCCCCTGGGGTTAACAAAAGCTTAAGTGCAGTCTTAAAATGCAGCTTAGGAAAGCCAACAACGAAGAGGAACCTGAAGTTAAAAAGTAAGACTAACATGAGATAACACGTACCCCATTTCATCTCTTCTACGATGTACATTTTTTCCTGAACATTTTAATATTCCTGAATGGAGATATATGTCTTTTTCATTTTTATTCTTTAAAAATATTTTACTGTTTATGTCATTACAGTTGTCCCAATTTTACCCTCTTTGTCCTTTCTCCACCCAGCCTGCACGCAACTCCCATAGGAGATACATACCTTTTAACTAATGGTGTGTCACAAGTCTAACTTCCAGAGTTAATTTCCTTTCTTATATGGTATATAAATTGGATATTAAGGGCTCTTAATGTTATACTTTGAAAAAATACAATTTAACCCATTATTTCCCATGACTAGTTAAACAAAAATCATTTCCCCCTCTTCTTAAACGTAACATCAAGAAACCTTTAATGGAACTGACATTCCAAGAAACTTACTTTGCAAACAGTGGCTTCAAGTGTTTAAGTCTAGTTAACCTATTATTTTAAAATAAAGTACTGTGTTAAAAGTTCTCTAGATACTAATTTAATAAAAATGACAGTTCAATTGGGAGAACATGGTGGGGGGCACCTTCTGAAACAAACAACCTCTCAGCTCTTTAATCTCAAAGGTAAGTTTGTTTCTTTTTAAACAGAATACAGAAGGAAACCCTCATGGAAAAGTGAAGCTTTAAAAAATATAGAACTACATGAACACTGTGCTACACTAACCCTCAAGCAGGAATGACAAGAGGACCAGAAATGCAGAGGACTTAGGTACTTGAAAAGGATATCCTAAACTTAACTCATGTGGTTTTTGTTTTTGGTCTTTTTCTCCTCTCCATCAAAGAATCTGTGGATTTATAAATGAGAATAAGAGGAAAATCCTAAAAATTTTCTGGTAATTTAGACTTTCATCTTCAACCTAACCATTATGATAGCAAAGCTCTGGGTCCTGGGGAATGCCCTGAAAGACACTGACAGGGTAAGTGTCAGCAGAAGAGAAAGGGAGGGGAAAAGGGAGCTACCTATGATTGCTGGTTTCTGGGACTTTCCACAGTGAAATCTCAAAACAAGACTTTCTTGGACACTTATCCTGTGCGTGTTTAAAGAAACAAAATTCAGATTATTTAACAACATATGCAGAAATTTCCAGTTTAAGAAATATAAAACAATGTCTGGCTTCTATTTGGAATGAAAAATTATCAAAATAATTTCCCGATCTATTATTAAATATGACATTCCCAATATAAAAAACGCTGTGTCCTTCCTTCAAATAAAATGTATATTAAAATAGTTTTTCTATCTAAACTGAAAGAAGAGATATTACCTGGAATAATTCTAAAAAGTCCTACCTTTTCTTTGCAGCTGGAAAGCATGCTAATAATGCTAAGACAAACTGATTGGACTGAGAGCGCTGGGGACCAGTCTTCTGTTAGAATGGATAAACAGATATGACCATTGCTATAAACATGAGGATGAACAGGAATATTTTCACCAGTAAACATGACCTAGGAAAGAATAAAATGTCATTAACACTCAAACATTCTGTATTACCAAAAAAATTAAATATTCTCTATATAACAATATTTTTTAAAACCAATTAAAAAATAAACATAATCAGTGCCAGGATCAAGATTAACAACTGCTTGTTTATTCTCAAGTTATTAAATACTGGTTTCACCATACGAATGCACATGTCATAGGGAAAACATCCAAATTATCTATTTTGTACTTCAGCTATTTTTCACAAATCTTTAAAAAAATTTCCAAATTATCATGCATTTTTAAACTGGTGAAAAACAACTGTTCATTTATAAAAATGGTTTTTCAAATTCTATTCATTGCTCTCTACAGAAACCAAATACAATAAAATTCCAAAAAGAAAGTATTCAATTTTGAGACAACATGAGTTATAGTTGGTAGGAACACCCCTTCCATCTGCAACAATGCTATCTCACTCCAGGTGTTATATAGAAAAGGAAATGACTGCTATATATTTCACCTGCTCTAAACTCACACATCCATTATGACGGGCACAAATTACTAATTATTAATCAGCAAATAACTATGTGCCTAGACCAAAAAACAAAAAATAGGGTTGAGTGAATCTCAATTACTTGTTGTTATCTCTGACTTTTCTTTTACTCAATTCTTCTAACAGTCTTTCCTTTTTCCATCTTGCTTTACACAGTTTTAAAAGGTAATAAATCTATTATTTCCTTCCTTTACACTAATAATTCAACAAATATCCTAATAGTAGCATTTCTTACATATATCTACCTACGCATCTAAAGAGAAGAGTAAATTCATGTATCCAGAGGAAATCTGTAAGCATAGCCCAAAGTATGTCAAAGAAAGAATAAGTCTTACTTAAGATTGTTTATGTGTTATTTCATAATAATTTATTTTGATATAAAAATTAATTTATCAATCTTTAACTGAATTTTATATTGCAGTATAATGCCATTTTCATTTTGTTGTTTCACATTAAATCCGAATTCCTGACCTTGCTTTTAAAAAAATTACCTGAAGATCTGGCTAAAAATACAAATTCAAGGACCCCACTTTCAGATTCTGAATCAGCAGTTATAGTGGGATTTTTATAAAATTCATCAAGTATAAACCAGTAGTTCCCCAATGAGACTTACACTATCTTTCTCAATCCTGCAAACTGCCTCACACCTGAATATAGCAGAATCTCAGTAGAAAAAACTTTATCTTAAGTTACAACAGAAACTGATGAAATATATATTACTCTAGGCATAAAGTAACTATGGCCAGAGTAAAGTATGCCATAGTTTAATATGGGACATGTTACAGAAAGTGACTGTAACTTAGGCTTTTGCTTTTATTTTTAAATAGCTATCTACAAATCTAATTTTATTGGAATTATATAAGTATCTAAATTTTAACAAAGCACTCTTTCATACAAGTAGGAGTTCCCTAATATTTCAAATACACTAACATATGGGACTCATTTTCTTCACTAAAGCTGGTGTAAGATAGCAAAACGATTTTTCTCCCCCTCAAAGGAATGGCTTCACACATCTATTTGTTTCCTATAAATTCTGGCCACACTAAAGAGAGCTAAAATAAAGCTGAAAAATAAAGGTCCCAAAATAAGAGATATTCAATTACTTTCCTACCCAACTGCAGAAAAACCCTTTAAAGACTTTGGCACAGCTGTGTCAAAAGCATGCCATTTATCTTAACTCTATCTATTAGTGCTAATGCCTTTTTCATCCCTTTTTTAAAAATACTTTTTAAAAACTGATTTTAGAGAAAGAAGGAAGGAAGGAAGGAGAAGGGAGGGGAGAGAGAGAAAGAGACAGAGAACACAAACATCAAACATCAATCATCAATTTGTTGCTCTACCTATTTATGCATTTACTGGTTAATTCCTGTATGTGCTCTGACCAGGACGGAACCTGCAACCTTGGCTTATCAGGACTACACTCTATCCAAGTGAGCTATTCAGCCAGGACATTTTTCGTCACTTTTTGCTGAAAGAAATACTGCTTTGCAAAATGAAAGGACTGCTTAAATGTTCTTGCAGTCAAACACTTTGAGCTTATCCACAATTATTAAATTAAAATCTATTTTTATAAAAATAAGCTATAGTTTATCATCATATGCATTTCATATGCCTACATGTTACAGATGTTTACAGTGGATGTTAACAAATCTCACAAAATATGCATCTGCTTTGGCATATTCATTTTGCCAGAAAATGTTATTTGACCAGTTGAATATATTTATTAAGAACACAATGCCCAAGAACTTATTCCCTGACCAAAATTAGTTTTTAAAGAATATTTCTTTTTCAGTAACATCTCTTTTTTTAAGAAGTCAAGTAGAATAATACTCTGAAAGTAACAAAGAACTAACAAATTATCTTTTATGGAAAAAAAGAATCGATTATCAGCAACCATCAAGGAAAATATACAGACGGCGAAATAACAATGGCCACCATGGCATGCTTTGACCAGCCAATTCACAGAGCAGAAGGAAAGCAGTATTCTTGGAAAAATATGATGATAAACTAAAGCACTTGGCCTAGGAGCCAAGAAGAATGCACAAATCAAAAGGAAATCAGAAGAGGAAGAAAAGGGGCAAGTAAACACCTACAGAAGCAGCAGCACACAGTCTATAAGCAGGGAGCCAGAAGTCAACAGAACAGCTTGGAAGTCTGAGGGAACTGAAATAAAAAATCAGATCTCAACAACCCTATCTAAAGAAAAAAAAGGGGAAAAGAAAGGCGGGGTGGGGGGGCGCTTTTTAACATGCTACATGCAGGGCAAATGAAGCCAGTCTGAAACTTTTAGTAACCATTAAAAAAAGTGGAATGAATTAGTTGTACATAGTATAGGTAACTCCTCGAGCCTAACCTGCCAGATAACAGAATTTTAGAAGTTTGTCTAAACATGGAAAGGCTGAGTTTACATGCCAAAAATGATGAATTCCTGAAATAAAAGAAAAAACTTTTCTGCAGTTTATTCATGTAAAAGGCTGGTAAGTAGTTTCCACAGACTGTTTTAATGTGAACTTTCCTATTCTGGCTCTCTGCATGCCAAGGCTGAATTTCTTCAAGATCACTCTCTTAATCACCCTCATTTATTTAATACGTAGAACAAGCCAAAGAAGAAAATGTACATTTCAGTTATTTTAATGCAGCCAAGTAGGCTCTGAATACTGAACAGATAATTAAGCTATTTTCAAAATTCAAAAACTTTTTACTTGGAGTCCCAAGTAGCGGATAAAACTATCTAAAACAAATCTGACAAGACAATTGAATACAATGAATTTGAAACCAAAAAGAATAAATAAGAATAGTTTATTTATTTTTAAAATAACTTATTCAGATACATAGAGATTAAACAGTTAGCAACCAGAGACTGCACACCTTCCCCACAGCATAAACCAAACGATTAAAGTGGAATCACAGATATTTAAGAACCAGTTTGATGGAAATAAAAGTTACAATTTTAGAAAAGGATCTCTGTTCTATTGCATGCGAACCACACCTGAAGTTCTGAGTCTGCATTAGAAACAGTCCTCAGACATATCTAAATTTCCAAACATCTCCCTATTGGGGTGGCTCATTTTCAAGAGCAGGCGGGATATAAGAGAGAACTATGCTCAGGGTCCATATAATTTTGTTAAGTGTGCATATTCCACATACAACCTGATTTTTTTTCCTTTTAAAGATTTTATTCATTGTTAGAGAGTGGAAGGGAGGGAGAAAGAGAGGGAGAGAAACGATGTGTGGCTGCCTTTCCCATACCCCAACTGGGGACCCAGCCTGAAACCCAGGCATGTGCCGTGACTGGGAATTGAACCAGCAACCCTTTGGTTAGCAGGCCAGCACTCAATCCACAGAGCCACACCAGCCAGGGCCCAACCTGAAATTTTAAGCAAACTACAACCTCTGGCTAACTTTTGAGTACTGAGTACTGTCATAAAACTACTAAAATCTAAACTGAAAGCCACCAAGACTGACAAAATAAAAGGAACAAGTTTAGATAACTCTTTCTAATATGACATTAATGGTACTTATATGAAAGGTTTCCAAAAATCAAGCTCAACTTCACAATACTGACCACAATAAAGGAATACTGTGTTCAGACTAATGACAGAAGCAATGATAAAGTCAGACACCTAATCTGGGATTAGGCTAGTTTAAAACAAAGCATATGCAGAACGTAGTACAAAACAGGCTATCATTGTAAAAGCCAATCAATAATATAAAAACAAGGTTTCTCCAGGGACAATATGAGAGCATGCTTTTTTTCTGATGGAAATTATAAGTAGATGACAATACTTAATGTGTAATGATAAAATTGAACCATGTGAGCAAAGAGTATACTGTAATAAACTAAATTAAGTATCAATTATGAATAATACATGACATAGGTTGTTGGGAAACATCCCGTCTGGTTTCAGGAACTGTAGCCTCGCCAACAGGCGAGAGGGCCCCAAGGCTGGAGCTAATCAAGGAGGCCTGGGAAAAGAGGGCACTGAGGAGACAAATCCTGTCTCCCTGGCAGGGGTGCAGCCCCTGCCTCCCTTGTATCATCCTGCTGGGCCCTGAAGGATGGCCGGTTAGTCAATGACACATAAGACCCCTTGATGGCAGGGGCAACCTAGGACTGGCACAGCTGCAAAGGCATCAGGGAAGAACTTGGGGGGACATGGAGAAGGGGAAAAAGACCCTCACCCCCAGGCTTTGATATGGCTGGGGTCCTGATCCTATCTGAAGTTTCCTTATCTCTTGGCAAATCTGATCCCCTGCCTGGCTCAGGTTTGAAACCACACTGGAGACAGTTCTTAACTGGATCTATCAGTTCCCTGGGGAAATCAGGCCTAAAAGTAAATTCTCTGAACCATGCTTCATTTTTTCCTCAAAAGCTATGATAACCGGCTCATGCTGGGAAGGAAGTTTACATTATTCACAGACCCTGACCCTAAACCCTTTGGTACTCTTATGTTTACACTCTCATGTTTACTT